CGGTTGGCTGGCTGCCTGCTGACGTCCCACTGGTTTTTCCTCTCCTCTTTCTTGCTCACCTGGAAATTCGGGTTCTGCATCTTGTTCTTCACCATCTCTACAAACGCTTGTCTCTTTAAGGCAGAAAGAAGATTGACAACATTTAGCTTAGGTTCCTCTTTGCCTTTTGCACTAAAGAACAATGGATTTTTTTCCCCTCAACTTTCAGATGCTATCCGTTTGGAATGCCGGGCCTTCCCAAATACAAGGGAGTGACATGTGGGTCTGCAGACAGGGACAGGCGTGGCTTTAGGGGACAACGGTACACAGTCCTGCAGAGTCTCTCCTCTGCCAGGTCCCAGCAGAGGAGGAGGTTGGGCCTCAAGGGTCACTGTACTCTTCTTAGAGGACAAACTGGCCTTTGCTGGAGAAAGAGCCTCCCAGGAGGTGGAAGTGGCTGTAGACGCCCAGTGTTTTCCCCTAAGCACCCCCATGCCCTGGGCATGGTGGAACCCACAGTGACTGAACTTTGTGTGAGAGATAGTGGGGGTTTGCTTGGGAGCTGCTGTCACTCTAAATCCAATCTTGCTATTCCCCTGGGGTCCGATTTACAGTTGCTGACCCTGGTCTCAAGACCCTGCACCTCAGGGACAGTTTCTTGAAGAGAACATCGCCTGGGCCCTGGGGCCTCGACAGGGAGTGAGGGAGCTGGGAGAGCTGTAGTCCCTGCCAGAGAGCCCTGAGCTCAAGCAGTCACTGACCTGATGTCTATGGGGGACCGGGAAGCAAAATAAGAGGGCTGAAACTGGAACAGCAGTAAACCCAGGAGCCCGGAACCTTTCTAAGGAACCTGGAAGGTGGTGGCTTGTGGGATTATGGGCCTGCTGTCACCACCTCGCCCACGTTTCTCAGAGAAGTCAAAGAGCCAGCAGTCTGTGGAAGTGCCCTATTCTGAAATGTTACTTAAAAACAAAACCCCAAACATCCCATGAGCCAAAGGAAACACATCTGTGGCCTGCTGTTTTGCAACATCTGCTCAGTCAATATTTGTTGGTTGGCAGAAAAAATACAGGATGACTAGTTAAATATGAATTTCAGAATGAGAATACCTTTTTGGTTTTGTTTTGTTTTTAGTGCAAGTATATAGCCCTTGCACTATTTGAGACATACTTACGCTAAATAGCTATTTGATGTTTATCTGAAATTCAAATTAAACTGGATATCTAGTTTTATTTTTCCCCCTAAATCTGCCAACCCAGTAAGGCAATCCCAAAACTTATGGAGGGAGTGAGTAGGGCTGTCTTTTGGGATCGGGGCATGAAGAAGTGCGAGCAAGTCTCTTCCGTCCTCACAAAGCAGCTGTCGAGGAGGCTTACGGGCCTATATTTAGCTGGCGGTTGCCCTCTAAGCATTTCCATCTAGGAAGCCTTGAGCCTGCTGCCGCTCAATGTTTATCACAAACTTGAGGAACTAAGCGCAGACCACAGTCACTGTTAAGGTTTCAGATACTGCAAAGCCGTGGGTTTTACCTTCCCTCTCTCTCCCCGCTCCCTTCCTTTTTTCCTTCCTCCTGCTTTTTATTTTTTTTATTTATTTATTTTTTTGCAACAGAACATTTTACTCAAGCAAAACCCATGAGGAACTTGGCATATGAAGACAGAAGAAGGAGAGCCGGTCTGCGGGAAACCAGGTGTGAGGGTGTTGAGAACTCACTTTTCCATGGGCCCCAAATGCTCCAGGGAATTCTGGTTTGAACGCCACTCCAAAATCCGTGGCTGGATTAAGGCCGAGGAGCAGACAGCTGAGCACTGAGGAACAGAGCGCCGCCCTCGTCCTCCTCCACTGAACTCTCCTGGACTTGCTGGGCTGTGATGGCATCGGTCTGTCTCAAGAGCTGTCCCCAGACGTGGCTCACCAGCCCCGCGTGGCTTCTGCACTAAGGCGTTCACCGTCTCACACAAGGCCCCTCTGTGGAGAATCCAGTGTGGTCCTCGTTCTAGGAACACCTGTGAGCACCACATCCGTGGTATCTAGGGACACTGGCTTGTAGATGAAGTTGGTTTTCCATCTCCCATTGGCTGCTGGGAGCCCCCAAGTCAAATGGGGCTCCCATTGGCAGGTGTGGAGGTCACTACACCGGCACGTTCACCCTCAATCCTGGCTCCACTTTGGACCCACTTCCCGGCTTTTTTCACTCAATTCATTCTCAGGAAAGTGGTTCCTGGGATTTCCCATTCTTCTCTCCTTCGTTTCTTATGACCTGTCTCTAAGACCCCCAAGTCATTTAGTGCCTAGGATGGCTGTTCCACTGGCCAGAACTACACTGAGATTTCCCTCTGCCTCTCTCACCTCAGGTGACTGGGCCGGACATTTGCCTGTCTCTTAGGTCATCTGTTCAAACTGTAGGTGGTGGGTGGGGGTGGAGTGGAGGTGTATGGGTGCCCCTCGGGTAGCACCTGCTGGCCTTTTCATTCCATAAGATCTTACCCTTTGAAAAGTCTCTACTTTGTGTCTGGCTGCAAGATCAGAACCCCTCTCCGTACCTGCCTCTCTTTCTCTTTGAAGGAACAGTTGCAAGGGGTCAATTCGTTTGCGTTTCTCTGTTTGTGATCCTCTAAACGCTCCTGAGTGAAAACATCAGGTGAGCAAGAGAGCGTTGAGTGTGTCCTGACCTCTCCGACCTGGGACAGACCTCTGTGGTTTCTAGGAGACACTGGGCTTCACCACCATGGGTGGCAGGAGATGGAGGCGGGCAGGCAGGGGGCTTTTCCTGTAGCTACACGTCACACCAGTCCAACCATATTTTACTTCTTCATCCTTGTGTAGACCTGAGGGTACCACTCACAAACCCTTCATCCCATTCTCATCCTATACAACATCGACTGATTTCCACTCCTTAGTTCAAAACACACAGTGCCACTAAGGGCATGAGGATCTCAAGGGCACCAGGGCCCAAGTTGGTTTTGGAAAGTAGTGAGTTAAAGGGAACAGTGGTGATAACAGTGACGTACGGAGTGCACATATGGAGCGATCCTATTTGCTAAGGGTTTTATTTACTTGTTCTCACGGAATCAAATTCTACGTGTTAGGCACCGTTTTTGAAACTAGTTAAGCGGAGACTAAGGTTGGGGCTCCAGTGCAGCTGAGACCACCCAGCAAAGCTCTGGCCAGGCCCCTTAGCCAGGATTCGATTGGCAGGAGGCCAGAAGGGGAGCAGAGCAGCTTCCCCAGCCAGAGACACCCAGAGCATCTCAGTGGTTCTCACACTTTGAGTCCAAAGAAAGGGCTAAGAAAGGGCTTGCATGCTTCTCAAAGGGCAACTTCTGTGCATTTAAAATTTCTCTATTGAAAATTCCGGCCTTAACCCATTCACAAAAAGTATCGGCTCTTTCTTGGCTGTAGCCCTTGCTGCATTCACCAAGTAGAAAAGAGCTTTACAAAGGAACTGCTGGCTTTAGGAAGACCAGGGAAAGAATCCCAGGGTTTGCTGGACAGTCAGCTGGCAGGAAGCTCTCTGAAAGAAATACAAGGATTGCCCCCGCCCGGCTGTGAGTGGTCTTTTCTCTCCCCTGTGTGACAGAGGAACCGAGCTTGCTGTGAGCCCGGCACCGCATGCCTTCTGCCATTTAACCCTCCCCCTGCCCCGCGAGGTGGGACCTGTTTCCATTATTGTTGTAGTTGAGAAACCTGAGACACAGAGCTGAAGTCACTTACTCAGGGTCACTCAAGGGCAGAGGGGGGCCTAAACCCTATTTATTTGAGTCCCAAATTGGTCTCTTAGCCCACAGACACTGCTGCTTTATCTAACCACATAGGAAGTAGACTGGGCTGAGCATGGCCTGGGATTGTCACTGTCACATGGTCACACAGAGAGCTGCCATCCTGGCTCTGGGATGCCAATGACCATGAGGTTTGCTGTGAATGTCCAGTGCTGAAGTTTCTCAGCGTTTCATACCAAGTCTTAGCTACACAAAGGTGTTAGCATGGAAGTGTGACTTTGGATTCTGGCAAGTTCTGCTCAATGAAGTGATGTTCAAACATTAAAACTACATTGGTATTTTGTCTGTGTGTGAGTCTGTGTGTGTGTGTGTGTGTGTGTGTGTGTGTGTGAGTGAGTGGTTCTGAAGCTCCAGGTGAGTAATTCTGGTCCCTAGGGCTTCAATCATTCCATTTCTATCAATAGGTTGCTATTTAAAAATAATTAAATAATTTGTTGTGATTTTTAAAAAAAGAATTATTTTATTTTATTTATTATCCTTTCAGAAAAAAAAAATTGATCAGAGAGAGATAGAGAGAAAGTGAGAAAGCGAGCTGCCAGGTCTGGGACTCCACCCATGGTCGGCTATGTGGGAGTCCAGCTCCTCAACCACAATGCCACCTGCTGGTCCCAATTTGTCGTGGTTTTCAAGCCACTGGGTCCAGGTCTCAAACCATGGTTGGTCACATGGGAATTCAGCAACCCAACCACCACACCATCTGCTGGCTCCAACAGGTGCTATTTTTAGACAGGAGACACTAAAAAAAAATAAGTCTCTTTGTGAAAATATTAGGTATAAAACGTAAAAAAATAAAGAATTCTATTTTCCTTGAACTTCCATTTAAAAAATGAAAATACTATGTTGTCAGAAAAGTCATGACATGTTTTTTAACCTAATACATGCCAGCAGAGTGGCTGACATCCTGCTAGATGTACGCAGGCTCCCTTTAGAATCCAGAAAAACTTTAAAATTTATTTATTTATTTTCTCTGACAAACAAGAGTTTCTGGCAACTTTTATTTTTAAGAGCTTTTTGCCTTAGGGTGTAGGTGCTCACCAGAGAGAGAGAGACAGCCAGACAGACAGTAAGAAGGAAAGTAGAAATCACCCCACCCCCCTAGGTGGGATGGCCATGCTGCAATCCTTGTACTCTGTTCTCCTCCTGGGATCTTGGGCACACACACACACAAGTGTCCAGCATGAGTTTCAAGCCACTGGGTCTGGGACTCGAACTGTGGTTGACCATGTGGGAGTCCGGTGACGTAACCGCTATGCCATCGGCTGGCTCAACATTTTTTCTTAATAGTCAGAGGGCATGTGTGCAAGAGAGAGAGAGAGAGAGAGAGAGGGGAGAGAGAGAGAGAGAGAGAGAGAGAGAGAGAGAGAGAGAGAATCTCCCCAAAGAGCACAGTCACGCCACAATCCCTTTACTCTATTTCTCCTTCCCATCGGGATTTTGGGCATGCACGCACATGCAGTCAGCATTTACTCAAGCCACCAGGGCTGGTTTCAAGCTGCAGTTGACCACGTGGGCTCTGGCTCCCAGTGCACAGCTCCTAGTCACTGCCCTACAGGTTGGTTGCACTAACTTACCTTAATTTTTTTTTTTTTTTTTTTAGGTTTTTGGCATAGGGCATGTGCATTCCCCAAAGAGAGAGAGAGAAACAGAGAGAGGGAAATTGAGAAATCACCCCCCAGAGGGATGGCCGTGTCACAATCCCTTCTCTTCCACTCTCTTCCTGGGATTTTGGGCATGCATGCACACATGCCCTGCATGATTTTCAAGCCCTCAGGGCTGGGACTCAAACTGTGGTCAGCCATAGGGGAATCCAGCACCTTAACTATCATGCCACCTTATGTTATAAACATAACAAACTTGAAATGCAAACCTAAGCCCCAGAATGGACACCCCAAGAGCAACGGGGCATGGAGGATGAGGGGCACCCCAGAAAGAAGCAGGGATAGACACGTGAACAGGGGCTGGGAGGACGGGAGATCTGGGCAGGGTCCTGTGTGTGCTGCTGAGGAACCAGGTGACACCATCCTCTGTCAACCTGCTTCTCCTCTCTCCAGGGCGGATACCCGACCGCAGTCCTGGGGGGCTGATGTGAGACGAGGCATGTGCCGTGTGACACAGGGACCTGCCATGTGAGTGCTCAGTAAACACCACCGTCAGTATGCCCCGTGTGTGGCTGGGACGCCTATGACATCTTTCCCTGTGTTGTGAAACCCGTGACTTCGAGAGCCCCCAGCTCTGGCTCTCCTGGGAGCCCCTGCCAGGTTCAGCTCAGCCCTTCTGGGTTCTCCCCCACTGCGGGGTGTGCGGTGCCAAGCAGGCGGGCATGGCCGCTGCATTCTGCATGGATGAGGAGCTCCATGAATAATGCATGTGAAGCTGATTATGTAAATCCTCTGGTTTTCTTACATTTCCAGCCAGCGCACCACAATGGGCTTTCTGGGGCCCTTCGCCATCCTGTTCTGTGGCTTGGTGTCTCTGGTTTGGGGCTGGGTCCACCAAGCCCTAGGGGGCACCCCAGGAGGGAGCCGGCGCTCCAGGGGGCACATCAAAAGAAAGTCGGACCTCAGTTGCTGCCTCGGCTCTCCCTGGAGAGGCACGAAGTGAAAGAAAATGTCCTCTGCCTGGGGCAGCTCCACGACGCCCACAGACCGCGGCC